GCATGCAAATGAGTATTTTATTGTCGCCTCAATCCTTTTGTTTCCGAATTGAAATAAGGAGTTAGTGTAGACTTTCTTCGCTATACTACACGAACCAGGCTGCCTGCTTCTCCCTTTCCCTGGACCTTTCTGAATTACGAGGCTCTAGTTGGTGTTGTTCAAGTGAGATGTATGTCAACAATTGGTGTAGTGTATATTCTCAACGAAAAATGTTACGCATAGATGAAGAGAAGTGCCTATTAACTATTTTTGAAAACAATGTATTCCGATAATATAATTTATAAAAATTTAACATCTATTAAAATTTCAAAATAAAAGCATAGTCCATATAGTAAAAAAAAGTAATTATTTTAATTAATTATGATTAAAATGGAATTTTATAGATAATTGAATAAGCTAAATGTAGATTCTGAAAAGTTGTTATTTTTCAGCTTCTCAAAATATGTTGCTAGATAGTACATATTCTTCTATATTCACCAATTTACCTAATGTCCAAAATAACTTCTAATTATTGAAAATCAGGAGTTTGATATATCTTTATGTGAATCAGAATTATTTCTTAATTAAGCGCATTAAATCACAAAGGAAGTCAATTAAGAATCGCAACAATAACAAAAATGTATATTTACTTTCTACCAATTTTAATACGGGTCTAAACAAATAACTCACTTCTTAGCTCGTTATCGTTCACGAATGAATGGAATAATAGTTAATTACTTCAAGCATTGAGAATTGTTGCAAAAACAATATTAAAAGATAAAAGAGTTGAAAGAACGTCATAAAAGAAATTAAGCCCTTATCTGATATTGATTTTTTTTAAAATTATTATCCCAACACTTATTTTCAATCACATATTCTAAAAACAATATTCACTTTTTTAGATTTTTTTTAAATAAATTTTTCTTACTTTTTATCTGCATACTCTCCAAAAAATTCATTTTCCACAAAATCGCTTCTCAAAAATCAACTTCACACAAAAGCTAAGGGTCTGTTCTCTTTGTATTTCAGTTTTGTGTTTTGAATTTATTTTGGATTTTGTATTTTGAGTGTCCATTTCGAGATTGTTAAAAATATGTTCTGTTTGGCATTTTGAAAAATTATTTTCAAAAATAAAAAAAAGAAAACCTATTTACTTTTCCTTCCCCTCTTTCTCTGAACTGAAGGGAAACCCAAACACCAATTAGGAAATTGGCCAACGCCCAAGGTCAAGCGGCAAGGAAAGTGAGGGAGATGGAATTGAATGTGAGGGAGAGGGAGGAGCCAAAGAAGAAGGCGATTTGAGCGAAAATGAGAGCAAACCAGACTTTGAAGAACGAATCAGAGTTAAAATTGATGGAATCGAGGATGCAGGCTATCGTGAGGCCGACGGTGAGAGTGGCAACGACCAAGGTCCCACCAAGGTCTAGGAGGAAGACGACGGATGGTATCAGCGCAATAGCGATTCTGGCGTTGTGAAAGAATGAAGACGGCGAATTAGGAATTCTAAATGGAAGAGCTGCGCCGATTGTTGGTGGTGCCATGATAGATGGAGGAGGAGGAAGAGCTGGGGCTAGGGTTAGGGTTTTGGTCACCGTTGTAGGAGGTAGTGGGGAAAGATGGGGTGCTCAAAGAGGAAGATATGTGCGGACGAAAGGCCCTCGGCTAGAGCTCCGACAAAAAATCTTCGTCAGGGGGCTGTCTGAATTCAAACCCAGTATAAACAATGCAAAAGTCGGCATGGAGACATCCCTCTGACTAAGAGTGTAAATCGTAAATTCAATCAATGGACTGAAGGGAAAACCAAACACTGATTAGGAAATTGGCCAGTGGTGGTCGGGTGGCTGTGGTGGTGGTTGGGCGTGATTGAAAACACTCAAAACACGTTTTTTAATTTTGACTTGATTATAATTGAAAATATCCAAAACGACATTTGTAAATTTTTAACTTATTTTCAAAAACGCATTTTCGAAAATAGGAAAGAGAACGCGTTTTCACTGTTTTGAAAAATAAAAAACAGAAAACAGTAAAATGAACATGCCCTAAGTTTTCCAATAAGGTCACATCAACCACTCCTAAAAAGGTTTGATAAATACTTTTAATGGTAAAAATAACTATTAGACTTAGAGCACATCACCAAATCGTGAAAAAAAAAACACTGGAAAAAATAAATTATTAATCTTGCACAAAGACATCCTCTTCTTCAGTCTCGAAAACCTCCAAATCCGTGTGCAAAATTGTGTTTTTTTTTTCTCTCCCAAAAAGTCTCAATGTGATGGGGTTTTTACCTACAATCTTCAATTCACTTCATTATGCTCTCACAAAATCAACATTATGCAAGTTTAGAAGCATAGATCACACTTGTCATTACTTCCAATCAAAACCCCCAAAAGCACTCAAAATATACTTCTGGTTCTTGTTTGGAGGTGTGAAAGAAATATGTGGCCAAAAACTTCATTGATTATGAGAACAAAATGCAGGGATTTGATCAGAAATTTGAAACTTACTTAGCTATGAAATTTTATTTAACTAAAAATAATATGGCGACAAGCAATAAAATATTTTTTGATGACACATTCTCTCAATAATTATTATTTTTTTCAAACTCGTTTTAAACCACTGATTCTTCCAATAAAATAATTTACATGTAAATTCAAAATTTTCCCCACTTTTTGACTACATATTTTTTTAAAAAAATCACTATTACAAATTTCAAAAAAAAAAAAAAAAAAACTACCAATAAAAACAAAGCATAAAAATATAAAAAAATTTTTTTTTTTTTTTTTAATGTGAAAAATGGGGCTGAAACAAAGAAATGAATGAATTTGACGGAAAGCCATAAAATCTGGATTTAAGTCAAATCTTTTTGTAAAGAGTATTTTCAAATAGCTCTCGAAGTTGACAACCATTTAAGCCAATCTTTTTTTTTTTTTTTTAGAAATCAGATTTTTAATAGATTATAAATAAAAATTGATAAAATAAGTGATTGGAAATTAAATTAAAGTGGCGAATTCCAAAAAATGCGTGTTTAAAAATAAATTTGAGAAAAGATAAATTTTAATAAAAGGGTACCAAACATTGGCGGACTCGGGTCCACGGGGATACCCCCAACTTTTGAGATTTTTTTTTTATGAGTAAGTCCTAGTATCTATTGAAATCTAAATTTTAATTTAAATCAAAGTTAACAATTAATTTTAATGACATATTTTATAGAATCCATAACTTTTCAATTTTTATCAAAGTTTAGGGTGTGTTTGATTGCATTTATTTTTCATGAAAAATGTCAGTTTTTCACCTAAATTCCAACTTTGAAGTGTTTGATTATTATTTTTTTACATGAAAAATATTTTCCAACTTTTAAATATATATCTTATTTTCCTTATTTTTAAGGAAAACATTTTATTTGGGGAAAGTAGATTTTTGTTTTCTTCAAAACAAGAAAAATAGTTTCTTTTTTAGGATATATTTTTCCATGCCAATCAAACACATTCTTACTGAAAAGTTTTCCCACGAAACTAGGGCTAAACACAACAAATTTGAATTTTTTTTCTCTCCTCTCTCTCTCTCAAAAGTCTTGTACCAAAACTTTAACCCTTCTATTTTTTTAAAATTTGTCTATAATTTATTTACAAATTATCATATTTACTACAAATTTTCACTTTTTAATCAAATTTTCAATTAATTAGAATCTAATTTGCATTTTTTCCTATCAAATTGTGTATATAGAATGCGTCTGAACTGATTATATCCAATTTGACTTATATTTAACGAATTTTGTTTATTTGATTGATTATTAGTATTGAATATTTGTTATATGTTTTCCTTTCAATTACTTGAATTGATTATTCTTTTTCAAATATACTATAAATTTTTTTAAATATAAATATGCATTTTCATGTGATGCACAAAATATTAATAAAGTGATTGTCCGAAATCAAATAAATAAAAATGATGAGCAAAATATTAATGAAGAAATATTTTTTAAATATAAATCTGCATTTTCTCATGTCAAATATGTATTATTCAAAAATCAAGAAAAAAATATTCAATTTGTACAAAGTTTGATCGTGTGCTTCCTAATTCAAAATGTCTATGTCCACCTCTTGGACCAAACAAAGGATAAATACTTCCACAAATTAGAAGTGTCAAGGAATCCGAAGATCTTCTAATTCTCATTAGGTTGATATTCATTTAAAATACAATTATGAACCATGATTTTTTTTAGTTTTTTTTTATTTTGTGAAAATATATAAACCATAAAACTAGTAGGGAAATGTGTACATATCATTTTTCATAATGATGTCCATAATGGACACATGGAAGTCCCATATTGGGGAGCGTCTAGGCACCATTATGTTATGGACTATGTACTCATAGCATAACCCAAACTAGTAACATATTGTATGCCAATGGATTTTGCCATTTGTACTTTCTTCCCTTGACATCATTGTTAACATTGCATTTGTTTTCAAAAAATTATGATAGTTTTTTTTTAAAAATTGGCTAATGACAATTTGCTATAGGGTAAACTATCAAACTTGTTGTACACCAAATATGATTGGTATACCATTATTCAAAAAATATTTGTTAGATAATTATCTCATTTTCCAGCGGGAAGTAAAAGATTCTCGAAAAATGCTCGTTGTAAATAACTATTTACATAATGTGTTAAAATATAAGTGGAGATGCTTTTTTTTTAATAAAATTTTGATCTAATTAAATCTTATCACATTATTTGATGGTAAATTATTATGTAAGTTGTTATGTATATATAGTACAATTTTTTCAACATCAAACGTCAAAATCTAAAATCATAAATTTCTGGAACGAAAAAAAATAAAAAAGAAAAAGAAAAAAAATGATCAACTGGAACTTAAAATTTTTTTAGGTTATTTCCTTATTAAAAAAAAAAACGAAAATCCAAAGGGAACACGACGCCGTCTTGTACAGTCCCCTTATAGGTTCCTGTAAACCCTAAACCCTCTACCTCTCTCTCTCTCTCTCTCTCTCGGTGCAGAACTGCAATGGCAGAAAAACCTTCATCTGCAAACCCTAATTCAAAAAATCAGAAAGAGGAAGTCACATGTGAAGAGTGTAAAACGAACCCCTCAAAGTACAAGTGCCCAGGATGCTCTCTCCGCTCCTGCAGTCTCCCTTGTGTCAAAGCACACAAGCAACGCACTGGCTGTACTGGTAAAAGGCCGCTCACGAATTTTGTACCCCTCTCTCAATTCGACGACAATGTTCTTCTATCAGGTAATTTTATTTTATTTTATATAATTTCTCTTTTGGAATTCCTGTACTGTTTTGAATTATCGTCTTGATAAAATCAATTCCCTGATGTTTTGTTTTGTGGAATTTTCGAGTTTATGGATCGTAATCTTCTCCCGTTAGTTTTTAAAATCAATTTCTGGAAGCCCATTTTGATAACTTTTAGTGATATATTGTGGATTGTCTTGCACATGGCTTTGCACGATAATAGTGATTTTACAGTCTGCCGTTTATTTCCAGCATTAATTTGGACATTGTTAATAAGTTTCAGAATATGTTAGACAAGTGCTTCGAAGTTCGACCCTGGAGACGCTTGTTTGGTTAGCTAAGTAGCTGTGGACTTTTCTATATTTTGTTCCCTTTCGACGTACTAGTACTGTTACTACAGTATTATATTTTTTGAATGGGGGTTGTTCAGCCTTCATGGTACAACACTATCTAAGTTTTGTATATTTTAAATCTAACCAACAGTTGATAATACATGTTTTCTACCTATGATTTTGGTTTAACAGAATGACACCTAGCAATTCATGTAGTTTGCCTCTTTGTTGTATGTTTTCAAGATTTTTATATTGGCTTTAAATCAATTTTTTCCCAGCAAATGTAACAGTTCGTGCTGTAGCATTTTGTAATTCCTTGTAGTCTTTTTTGTTGCTTGCAATATCAAATTATAAATGATGATATCTTTACCAGAATGGTAAAGTTAAACCATGATTTTCAAGTTTGAAGTTTCTACTTTCATATTGATAATTGACAATTTCTTCATACTAGATTATAATATGCTTGAGGATGTGAAGAGAGTTGCTGAATCTGCCCAGAGGACGAGACTTAAGTTATGTGGCGAATATCATTTTAGGCTTCCGTTTCCCCTTAAAAGTCTTCGGAGTGCTGCTGCAAGCCGTAGGACGAAACTCCTCTTTCTTTCAAACGGGATGTCAAAGAGATTAATGAATCAAACTTATTACAACAATAGGTGATTATCTTATATAATTCTGCCCTTTTAGAAGATTAGAGTTTTAGATTGATCATCAATTCGATACATCTATGTAAATCGTGGGATGCTAAATGTTTGTTTGTTGTCCTCAAATTTCAGTAATGACTAAATTGAAAATCAATGGTCAAGGGGGGCTAGTTTTGACTTTTTGACGCACAATGCAGATAGGTTAACTTTCATTTGCACTTAATTTAACCTTGCAATTAAAATTAGATGGGAAGAGTAACATGTTTTGTTTATAGAGAAGCCCGTAAACTGTGATTGGAAGAAACCTCAAAAAATATCAAATTACGAAGTATTAACTTTGAATTTCTCTTTTCTGGAATTCAAAACTGGGAATCATAAAATGAGAGATGAAGTCCAAAATTGAATCATTGTTTATAGACTTTACTTTTATTTATAAATTGAAACTGATTACCTGTATGTGCCTGTCTTTTTAAGATGAGCCAATTTGAATATTCAATGTGGCCGCATGTTTGTGTGTCTCTGTATGTTTGTTCATGGAGGAGTATGTGTTTCCTGCATCTTACTATGCAGAAGTTAGTGGAGTGTCAAAATAAAACTTTACCACAGGACAAGGAATCCAACAGCACTGACTAAATGAAAATTACCCTAATCTTTCATTGCTCACCTCGGAACTTTTCTAACAGTTTATGCAACAAGGCTTTTGATACGAGTAATGTACTTTTTGATCCAAATGACTTGCAAGATTCCTGTTACTTCTGTTGTACTTTTCAATGCATTTACTTGAAAATGGATGGTGACAGCACTATCAAAATCTTGACTTCATGGTGGTAGAAGGTTTATCAGTATGTTGGTTAATTTTGTTCTTATGCATTTGAATTCAGTTTTATATGTTGTATACTCATTTAATTCTCGTTTCCAGGAAGAAATTCATATCTTGGACCATTGAGTGGCGGTTCCGTTCAACTGATGTTGTGTTAATTGACCACGGGTGAGTGCCTTCACAATTACAATTGTTTATACTCTTTCTTCTAGGAGCAGATACACTTTCAATCTCATCAGTGTCAATAGATAAGTAATTTCAAGTAGACGACATGCCTTCATTACAGATAGGGAAAAACTTAATGTGCAAGATACTACCTTTTAAAAACTTCCTAGACTATTAGCCTGACCAGTTGAGCAATAAACTAAAAGCTTTCCTATGCTATGGATCAGCAGAGTAGCAAACAATAAACTAATGAAGTAGTAATTGCATACCAACTTCACTTGTTGAGGGGACCATGCTTCAGTTGCAGGAGTAGAAGGCTAGAGTGCACATGGGCTCCCTATTGATTGTCTTTTCTAATCTCCAATTCTTTAAGTTTTTAGGGTTGGGTTGAGTTCAATAATACCTAAAAAATCCCTTCAATTCTTGGAGCTACGAAAAAACCTGTTCTAAAAGCTGAGGCTCATAAAGAAAACCCAAAAAACTGAGATGCACAAACCTTAGTGGCCCTGAGGCTTACGCCTAGAGGTTTTGTGCCTCACTAAGCCATGTGGCGTCATGAGCTTTGGCAAAGGGTAATCACAGTGTTAGCTTTGTGGCTCCTAATTAATGCCTCGAGAGGTTCACCTCAAGGCATAATCCCTGGAAACTGTTGAAAACAAGGTAGACACCCCTTCATTTCTTGCTCTCTCTAGCAGCCATTTCTTGCCCTTCAGGTAGTTATTCAACTTGAATACTTGTGAAATCTTCCCACTCTCAATAGTAAATTTTGCATTATCTTCTGACTTCTAGGAAATTTTCTACTTGGTTATCGTGACACTTCAACATAACAAGAAGCAGTTTTCTAACTATTGTGTTGCAGAATACATGAAAATACAAATCTGTGCTCTCTGATTGGAAAACATCTAGAAGATGGTCCGTGGAATCACCGGTTGAGGCAATTTGGTGATGAGCCTCTTGATTCTCTTAAATTTTTCATCCGCAAATATCCAAAGGTTCTTTGCTTTTACATCTTGTATTTTTGTTTCCATATCTATTTTGATGGTCTAACAGTCAACTTAGCCCAATATACCACATTTAAATTTGTCGTACTGCAGGGGCCCAGATCACCTTATCGCAAGTTAAACATCGAGGCATCAATACGCGAGCAATTAGAAAATTTAGTGATCTTGGAGTACCCTGTTATACATGTTTTTCTACCGTCACACACCTGTGATTTTGAAGTCATCAACGACATGATTCCTAATAAAGTTGAGCTTAACAAGCCTGTTGACAACGATTATCTAAGTCATGAAGGTGTGGCTTTCAAGGAGGAAGAAATCATAGACTCTGGCTCCACAAATCCTCTTATTTCAGATCTTATGAACCATTCATATCAAAATATGGTAACTGAGACTGAATACAAAGAGACTGTATATAGCCCATTGGTGGTAAGAGGTGTTGAGCAAGTCAAATCAGTATTAAGCAGTGGTGAAAGTGTGTGGAAAGAAGAAGAGTACTATATAGGCAAGGAGTTGGGTATTCCTGAGGAGGATATGAACTTTGATTTCGAGCAAGGTTTGGTTGACATATATTCAGATCTTATTGGGGGAACTAATCCAGATGACTTCCTCATGGAGGAAGAGCTAGAAGAAGGAGAGATTGCATAGGAATGCTTTATACTGTTTAAAGGGGAAAGAAATTGGAGAGTTGAATTAAATTTTGGTCATCTGTATTGTGATGTTTCTTGAAAAAATATCAACTCTAGAATGAAATCGAAAAATTGAAGTGTTATTAGTGTACAAGTTTTGGCCTTTGTTTAATGCCTATTTCTACTGCTCGAGCCCAGATAGATTAGCAGAAATAACACTGAAAAGAGAGAGAAGCTTTCTAGCATCATTTTGTCAATTCATTTTTGACACTAAACCCGGGTTCAATTAGTTAGAATGGTCACCAAATCATTGTGCATTTGCTTAGAACGAAATCCATAACATCCGTGGATCCTAGAAATTTTTGTCGAGTAAAAAATATAGGTTGATTATTGTAAAATAATATTGTGAAGAATATTCTCTCTCTCATTCCAATTGGAAACGGTGATATACATATATATACAAAGTCTAGGACTCTATCTTAGGAAAGTGTATAAGTTAGGATCCTATAATAAGGAAATTAATTGATTACAATCTATAACACTCCCCCTCAAGTTGGAGCATAGATATTAATTATGCCCAACTTGTTACAAAAATAATCAACCCGAACCCCATTTAGAGCTTTCGTGAAGATATCCCCTAATTGTTCTCCAGTCTTCACATATCCTGTAGAAATCAATCCTTGCTGAATTTTCTCGCGAATAAAATGACAATCAATTTCAATATGCTTAGTCCGCTCATGAAACACAGGATTAGATGCAATATGAAGGGCAGCTTGGTTATCACACCACAATTTTGCTGGTACTGAAATGTTAAGACCTATTTCAGTCAGGAGCTGATATATCCACACTATCTCACATACAGACTGTGACATAGCCCTATACTCTGCCTCTGCACTCGATCTGGACACAACGTTCTGTTTCTTACTCCTCCATGAGACCAAATTTCCTCCAACAAAAACACAATAACCTGAAGTGGATCTTCTATCCACTTTGGAACCTGCCCAGTCTGCATCTGAAAAGCATTCAATACGATTGTGCCCATGATTTGCATACAAGATACCTCGCCCGGGTGCTCCTTTCAAGTAGCACAAAATCTGTTCTAGCGCCGCCCAATGATGAACTGTTGGTGATGACATAAACTGACTAACAACACTGACAGAATATGCAATGTCTGGACGAGTCACCGTAAGATAATTCAACTTTCCAACCAACCTTCTATACCTCTCAGGGTCTTCAATTTGTTCTCCATCTCCTGTAAAGTGCATGTTTGGATTCATTGGAGCACTACAAGGCTTCACCCCCAATTTTCCTGTCTCAGTTAATAAGTCAAGGACGTATTTTCTCTGAGATAAAAAGATACCCTTTTTACTCCTTGTGACTTCAACACCCAAGAAATACTTTAACATTCCCAAGTCCTTCGTGTGAAATTGAGTGTGAAGGAAAGACTTAAGAGATGAAATTCCTGTAGTATCACTTCCAGTAATGACAATGTCATCCACATACACAACTAAAAGAATAATACCAGCTACCGTTTGTTTGTAGAACACAGAATGGTCAGACTTGCTTTTCATCATACCAAACTCTTCAACGGCCTGACTAAATTTTCCAAACCAAGCACGAGGACTCTGTTTCAAACCATACAGAGATTTTCGAAGACGACAAACTCGCTCAGACTCCCCCTGAGCAACAAAACCAGGAGGTTGCTCCATATACACCTCCTCCTGAAGATCACCATGAAGAAAAGCATTTTTAATGTCTAGTTGATGCAAAGGCCAATGATGAGTAGCTGCCATAGAAATAAACAACCGAACAGATGTCAACTTAGCAACAGGCGAAAAAGTGTCAGAATAGTCCACGCCATAGGTTTGAGCATATCCTTTAGCGACAAGACGGGCTTTCAATCGAGCGACTGACCCATCCGGATTTACCTTAACTGTAAACACCCATTTGCACCCTATAGCCTGTTTCCCTAAAGGTAAATCGACCAAATCCCAAGTACTATTATCATCTAAAGCATTCATTTCCTCTATCATTGCATGACGCCAACCAGGATGAGATATGGCTTCGTGAACAGTTTTAGGAACAGAGATAGAATCAAGAGAAGCAATAAAAGAAGAAGAGGAAGACGACAAACAGTTATACGAGACAAAAGAAGAAATAGGATAAGTTCATTGGCGTTTACCTTTGCGTAACGCAACAGGAAGATCATCAATCGGGACTGGATCTGATGACGAAGGAGCGGGCGTGGGACATGAATCAGGAGGGTTACGCCTGGAGTAGACCTGACTAATAGGAGGCCTCACGGGAGCGGGTTCCGAGGCAGGTGCAGAAGATGTGATAGAGTAAACTAACAAATCATCATCCTCCCCCGTGTGTGCGGGAGGAGGAGAAGATGGAAAATAGGGTGTGTCTTCCATGAAGGTAACATCAATGGAGACAAGATATTTGTTAAGACTAGGACAATAACACCTATACCCTTTCTGAAGACGAGAATAACCAAGGAAGATACACTTCAAAGACTTGGGATCTAATTTGGTGACATGCGGACGAACATCTCGAACAAAGCAAGTGCTACCAAATACCCTAGGATCAACAGGAAACAACGACTTATTGGGAAAAAGGATTTTGTAAGGGATCTCACCATGAAGAACAGATGATGGCATGCGATTAATTAGAAAGCATGCTGTGGAAACTGCATCGGCCCAAAAAGGTTTAGGAACAGTCATTTGAAATAGTAGGGCTCGTGCAGTTTCAAGAAGATGTCTGTTTTTCCGTTCTGCCACTCCATTTTGAGATGGAGTATCAACACAAGAAGTTTCATGGAGCATGCCATTTTGAACCATATAAGATTGAAATAAAGCGGACGTATATTCTTTGGCATTATCACTTCGTAAAGTACGGATCGAAACATTAAATTGTGTTTTAATCTCAGCACAAAAGGCACAAAACAGAGAGAACAACTCAGAACGACTCTTCATTAGATATAACCAAGTTACACGAGAATAATCGTCCACAAAAGTAACAAAATACTTAAACCCAGGTTTAGACAAAGTAGGACAAGGACCCCAAACATCAGAATGAACTAATTCGAAAGGAACACTAGCACGTTTATTAACTCGTGGACTCGAACTAAGACGATGGTGTTTTGCAAACTGACACGACTCACAATCTAAGGAAGACACCTTACTAAACTGCGGACAAAGTTTCTTGAGCAAAGGAAGAGATGGATGACCCAACCTACAATGAGCCTCGAATGGAGACGTTACACCAGAGCAAGCGACAGATTGTGGTATTGGTGTGTCCAGAATGTAGAGGCCCCCAGACTCATGTCCTTTACCAATAATCTTCTTCGTCATAAGATCCTGAAATAAGCAATGATCAGGAAAAAATGAGATGCAACAATTAAGAGTGCGAGTAAGCTGACTTACAGAGATCAAATTAAATGATAAGTTAGGTAAATGTAAGACGGACGACAGAGGAAGCAGAGGGGTAGGAGTAATTGTGCCAGACCCAAGAACACGAGATGGTGACCCATCGGCTAAAGTAACAGTAGAAGTGGAAGCGTATGACTTAAAAGTAGAAAAGAGACCAGAATTACCTGTCATATGATCTGTGGCACCAGAATCAATGACCCATTTGGAGGATGAAGAAATAAGACACGCATTTGATTTACCTGAATCAGCAAGAGCAGTGACAGAAGGAGATGAAGACTTTAGTGATTCTTGATACTGTGAGAACTTGGCAAATTCATCTGCAGAGATAAGAATTGTTTTGTCAGAAGTCTCGTTAGTGGATGCAACATAGGCCGAGTGTGCTTTCTGATTCTTGTACTGAAGCTTTTTACAATCTCGCTTCGTATGTCCCGGTTTCTGACAATAATAACACACAATTCCTCCAGAACCTTGTGTTCGAGTTTCAAACCTTTGCGAGCCTCCTCCTTTGTTTCCACTCTGATTGGTTGATCGCCCAGGCTCATAATTATTATTTCGGCTAACCAAAGCACCACTGATTTGACCAGGTGGAGTACCTTCAGTGCGAAGTACTCGACTAAATACCTCTTGTAAAGAGGAGATCTCAGAACCAGAAAGAACCTGTGATTTAGCAGTCTCAAGGTCAGGGGAAAGGCCAGCGAGAAAACTCATGACGGCCATTTGCTCTCGTTGGCGTTGCTGAACCTTTACATCAGGGCTAAACGGCAGTAACATATTAAGCTCCTCATAAGTCTTCTTAAAGTCCATAAAATAATTTGTAAGAGACTTATCTTGTTTTTCCGCACGGTAAAATGCTTTGCACACCTCAAACATACGAGAAATGTTCCCTTTACCAGAATACAAGAAATCCAAATAATCCATCAACTCTTTGACAAACTCACAGTGATTGATCAAGCCAATTACCTCTCCATCAATGGAATTTCGAATTTGCAGGAATAAGCGAGCATCCTCTCTGAGCCACATCTGCTTAGAATCATCTGTAGGAGGATCGTCAGCCAAATGAGTATCTTTATCAATACTCCGTAGATAAAGTCGAACGGTCTTGCTCCAATCCAAATAATTCGAGCCATTAAGCTTATGGTCCGTGATTTTCGACATCACAGGTACCACATCCGGCGCGACAATCGATTTCCTCTCAGCCATAACTTCTAAACAGATATACAAGACAAGAAACAAAAGATGGCCCAACAAGCCCAAGATCCAAATGAATCACAAAGAGCTTGGACCCAATAAAATCCAAGTCCACTAAAATTATGTTCCAGCAGCAACGGGCCCAAAATAAATCACCAAAACTGATAACCCAACTAAAGAAAATAAGAGCCCAATAGTAAGCCCATTACACCACTAAACAGAGAGGACAGAAATTGAGGCCCAACTTAGCCGAGCCCAATTATTTCACGCCCAAAGAAAAATGACCTGCAGCTCAAACCCAAGAAACGACCAAATGACCTCCAGTAGAAGTCGTGACCTGCAGAAATCTCCAGCTTCCACACGGCAGCCGGAGCAGAATCCCGACACGAGAAATCGG